ATTCAGGGTGTACGTTAGAATGAACAATGAAGGTTCTTTTTGTTGCTAACCTACGTGGTGGGAGAGGTGGGCGGTGCCAGTTGGGCTCGTAGGCTGTAGTTAGGGTGAGCATTCGATTAAGTCGATTAAAAAATTTCGAATTATTTAAGTTGACGAGTTTTATTTTATAACTCGAGTTTGATTTAAAAAATTTTCGAATCAAGTCAAATTAAATTTTCGAGTTTCTATTTAAATTTAATTATAAATAGTTATAATATTATGAAATTATTTAATTTTAATTTTAATGATATTTTATAATCATATACAATACATATATATATATTTTTATATTTTTTCATATGTGATTCACATATAACATATAAAGTCGAGAGACTCAACTCAAACTTCGATTTAAACTTGAAAATTAATTTACTAATTACTAAAAATTTCGAGTTATTCAAGTTATATTTTATAACTAGATTTGAATTTGAAATTGTTTCGAGTCTATTCGAATTTATAAAATTATAATTCGAACTCAATTTAAGTCAAATTTTTTCTAATCGAGTTGAGTAAAAAAATTAATTTTTCGAATCGAGATGATTTTTAATCACCCCGGCTATCATCCGACCCATTTATTCTTTCACCGTATAGAAGTTTAATTAAAGGGTAAAATATACTACAAGTCACTCAATTATGTATTTGGTAACAAATATGCCACTTTTTTAAAAGTTACAAATAGACGACAAAATTAAAATCAGGGTAAATTTCACATTTAATACCTAGAGTTTAGTTTTTATTTCATTTTAGTACCTATGTTCAAAATTTAACCTTAAGTTTTGAATGTTTTCAAAGTTTAGGTACTAAAATGAACCAAAACTAATAGCTTAGGTATTAAACTCGTCAAGTTTTTAACGACGGTACTAAAATGGAACAAAAACTAAACATTAGATACGCTTTTGAAAAAAAATTAAAAGTTTAGGTACCAAAATAAATTAAAATTGACACTATAAGTACTAATCACATTATTTACCCTGAAATATATTATAAATAGGTCATTATATCGTTAAAGTTGAAACGCCCACCATCTATTTTTTTTATTAAGATAAGGTGATTACAAGTAGTATCTGTTCTAAATATACTCTCAATCATTTGACAATAAATACTTAATCATCCTGATGCAGTCGTTGGTGTTCGAACCCGTTACCTCCAGAAACAATAATAATTCCTTTAACCACTGAAATAAGTGGTTCGTACCCACCATCTAAAATAACATTTTTAATCCCCTTATATTCTATTAGTTTTTGTCTCAAATAAAAATAATTTAATAAATTTATTTATTTATATTTAAAATTTTATCAATTTAATTATTTTTGCGATACAGTTGAACCAAACGAATAAACAAATAAAAAAATTGATGTTATCATACTAAAAAAGTAACATGAAATTAGAATAATATTTATAGGAGAATAACAAATAATTCAGGACAACAAAGATTAAATTGAAGAATTTTTAAAATATAAAAAACTAATTTTATTGTATTATTTTATAATATGACTAAATTAATAAATCATACAAATTTCAAAGATTAAAAATATTTGTAATAATGTTTTAATCTAATGATATTTTAAAAAAATTCAAAGTATAATGACTAATTACATAATATAAGATTATAAAAAGATAGATAGCCAAGTTGTGGCATGTACCTACAATTCTTTACCATTTTAAAACTTTGTTACATTTATCTATTTGTGTGGTATAGACTTGTATTTTTATTATGTTTATATTGGTCCATCCTATAATTTTTTTTATGGATTTGCCACTGATTACAATAATTTAACTGAGTGACTTGATTATAACTCTATGAAATTTAATATTTTAAATGAATCAAATACTCAACGTCAGTAAGTCACTTGATATTTAACGATCCAATGACATGTTTTTGACATCTATTAATTGAGTGATTATTTTATAATTTTTAAAAATCTGTATCTTTGTAACATTAACAAATAATTAAGTGTGATTCGATGTAGTTTACCTTTTATTTTTCTTAACTATCTAAATTATTGGTTCGCCGATGACGATAATTCCAATAAAATGTCAACATTGTCCCCACATTAAAAGTATGGAGGAACGATTGGTTCTGACTTATTAGTGACTAAACTGTAATATTAACGTGTACGCTAAGGAGGGAGAATAGTATTTTTCTCGTTTAATAAATTTATATAATCTTGAGTATAAATAAAATTAATTGTTTTCTCAAAGGATCCAATTTTTTTTAATAAATATTAAATTATCATTTGGGTAAATTACGCGTTTAGTATTTAAACGGTTAGCGCTCTAAACGTGTAATTTACCTCTAAACGGTTACTCGTTGAGTACTCAAATGCTAAGGATCTTCTTGTTCTAAAATGAAACATTGATGACCAAAATGCTCTAGAAAAAAAACAGTCTAAAATAATTATTTTAATAAACGTTGGGGCTTATTTTTTTATATTATGCTTATTTATAATGTAAACCTAATCTACGGAAAAGGCAAAAAGAAAAATATATATGTTTAATTACGTATTTAGTATATAAATTATAAATTTAATCTTTTTTAGTGCCTAAATTTTTATTTTTAAAACATATCTAACGTTTAATTTTTGTTTCATTTTAGTACCGTTAAAAACTTAACATTTTTTATTTTTTTTAATGTTTAGGTACTAAAACGGACTAAAACTGATAGTTTAAGTACTAAACGTATAATTTACCTTAAAATATATGACCGTTGTCTCTTTGATTGTTCGGTTTATATTTAGAACTATTGAATAACTATGTATGTGTCAAAGCGTTGTACATGGAGAAGTTCTGACATTATTATTACTCAACATTTCCAGTAACGTTAAATCGACTTTGTTAAGTATTTTATTATGTTTCCGGTCACACCGTTTCTTAGCTGTATATTAATCCACCTTTCCTGAGACAACCTTTTGTAACATGTAGTTGTCCTATATGGCTTGATATGTCCAATATGAACTTATTACTTAGCTTATTAAAAAATTATTTGAATTTAATTATAAAATATATAAATATTAATATTTAATAATATAAAAAGAAAAAAAACGACAATGACCAACAAAATTTGAGAATATACATAAAATATTGGGTAAATGATATGTTTAGTACCTAAATTATAAATTTTGGTCTGTTTTAGTACCTAAACTTTCAATTTTTTCAAAACCATACCTAACTTTAGTTTTTGTTTCATTTTAGTACTTCCATTTCAAAATTTAACGTTAAGTTTTGAAAAAAATTGAAAGTTTAGGTACTAAAACGGATCAAAACTGAAAACACGTTAAGTTTTTAATGGAGGGGTGCTAAAATGAAATAAAAATTAAATATTAGGTATGATTATGAAAAAATTAAAAGTTTAAGTACTAAAACAGACAAAACATGATAGTTTAGGCTCTAAATACATAATATACCCTAAAATATTTTTTACACCCGGTTTTAGTTTAACCAACACATTGTAAACACAAAATATATATAGAGAGAGAGAGAGGGAGGGGTCATTATAATGTTATTCACTCAATTATTTTAAAGTTTTTTATTTTTAGATAAGATCGAGTTCGGGTCATAGAATAATGCTTAATCGGGTACTCGTTAACATGATACATACATCACCTTAGCATTCTAAATTAATAATTGGTCCTCTCTGTCTAAACTCGAGCCTCCATTGGTTCTACAAGAGTTTGTGAACCATGGTACATTGTCACAGTGGATTCTTGAACCTCACTGGTTTCTCTGTACCCTTATTTTTACAAGTTATTCGAATATAATCCATGTTTGTCTCACCACGGGTGGCATTCTTTTTAAAATCTACATTGTCGGGGATGCCATTAAGGTCCAAACGTCAGCTTGCAAATGTTCCTGGTATTTTTCCTTTTCCGAGGGTTTCATCGGCTGCTGCTTCTGCTGATGATGCAGATTTGGACCCTCACATTGCTGGTATGTGACTAATATACGGTATGCATGTATACTATCTCCATATGTGGAACTCGAATTCAAATTTCATTTTTGTTGCAGAACTTCCTCCACTGCCTTTGCCGGAGAGACTTTCAAAGGAGCTCCGTCACCGGCTGGCAAGTTATTTACTTCACGATATCAAGCTAGGCAGACGGAGTTGTATGATTTTAATCAGTGCATGTTAACTATACATTTTTGTACTTTTACAGGGTATTCGATTGTTCAATATAGATATGAACAGGGAGTGTGGGACAAGAGATGTTTTTTATGTAATCGACATTAATTACTTTCCTGGTAAGTAGATGGAAAGCATTTTTTCAATTTGTGGCTGGTTTTATGACCGTTAATGTGATGCACTTCGAGTTTAATCACTTCTCGTTCGTGTGCTCTTCCAGGGTACGGCAAAATACCAGATTATGAGGCCATTTTTACGGGTTTTCTACTTACTTTCATGAAGAGCAAGTACAGGAAGAAGCTCATGAGTTAGTTGTTAACAGGTATCGAAGGATACCAATTATCATACAAGAAGTATCGACACAGTGTGGCTCGGAGCATGGAAGAACTGACAAAAACCGAAAATAGTTTTTAACCTCCACAGTTACTGACTGGTACGATTGCCCTTTGCTCAAGTCACTACGTGTATGTATGGGTGCTTTTAGTTGCCATTAGATTTTGATATCAAGCAAATTACACTAGAATATAAATCAGTTCTCTTAGTTCTTTCTCTTCCATATGCTGCTGAATCATATGAAATGATTGGATTACAGGTTTCTTGTTCCAAGTACTATGTACATTTCTTTTTATCTATGACAAATTCTATCGTAAACCCGAATTAGTGAAAGCTTTCAATGTGATCCCTTTAAGAAAGTATCGATACGAGCTTGTTTTAGTAGTTTCGAGACATTATGAATCCAACTTGCACTGCCATAATTTCTGTTTTTGCTTCGTTAATGTATCAATAACTGTTGGTGAAAGCCTAAGTTGTTTTCGATTAAAAAAGAATGAGATTTGTTCACAGTACGATTGACCTCTAATCTATGTCAGCATCTAATGACTAGAAATGCACAGCAGTGCAACTGTTACAGACATAAGATATAATTTTTCAATCATCATCATGGAGATGTAACCTGGCTTCGTATTCTGCTTGAACGTCGAACAGGAGTAACTATCTCGTCATCTCTTCCTGCCTTCAAAACCAAAAATATAACCAGAAAGTGTAAGAAACAGAATCTTATTTTTGGACAAGTATAACAAAGATAGCTATGATGTAACTTACATGCTTGCTAGATTTCTTCTCATACGTGGTAAAACTGCCATAGGAAGGTGAACCCGTCGAGTAATCCGACGAAGCAAGAGATTCTCTCCTGTAGGCCTTCCTAGCTTTCCTTTCTTGGCTCTGATATTGATTTGATTTCTTGCCTCCTTTGTTGCTGTAAGACGACGAGGTCCTCTCGGAGCTACTCATTTCCAATGGGCATGGCTCATTCAATTCCTTGATTCTGTTGCTGTAACATGATGAGGTCTGCCAATTCTTGGAGGATACTTTTTCGAGGATTGTATCCTTCGAGTCAACCGAAACCGGACTGTATTCGGGCTTTCCTCTCTTTGTGTAGATGAAAGCTGAAGCTACTAATAGACACAACACAAGTAAAGAAAAACCCATCACATTATTACTCGAGAGAAATTGTCCTTCCTGCCCATTAACTATATCTACAGCTTCAGAACTTTGAGAGTTGTCGGTGGAATCTTCGTTTTTGAGATTCTCAGACTTCACTTCTTTGGGGAACAACGTTTCAGCGATGTTGTTCAAGCCACCTTTGGGATCTTCAGTTTTGAGATACTCGGACTTCACTTCTTCGGGGAACGACATTTCAGCTTTGTTTTTCAAGCCACCTTCAGGGTCCCGATCCGATTCAATAACTTCATCCTCAATCCCTTGCTGCACTGCATCAGGTTGTTCCGAGACTAGTTCCGAGGTTTCAGAAGCTTCATCCGATTCAATAACTTCATCCTCAATCCCTTGCTGCACTGCATCAGGTTGTTCCGAGACTAGTTCCGAGGTTTCAGAAGCTGCACTCTCTTGGTCTTCTTGTTCATTATCATCTTCGTCTACTACCTCATCTAGTTCAATCTCTTGATAATGCTTGTCATCAAGTAGTTCAGTTCCAGCATCACTCCCATATCGGCTCCGTTGAACTGGAGTCAAACATTCGTTGCCCCTCAACCATATGATCCTCCATCGACTGACTCAAATTTGCATACTGAACAGGATCAGTTTGTGCACTTCTTTGAACCAGAAACGATTTCTGAAACATAAGACAAGAAGCTAGCTGGCCTTTGCTGCAGATTCTGAGTGAATCGACCGAAGTTCACTTTCGCAAATTCTGAAATTTCTAGCAGGACCTGATAGTTGCTTATTTCTTCAATTCCATGAGTAAAGGCAGGAGAATTAACCACTAGAACTGAAAAGCAAACAAAACTCAGAAACAGAAGCAGAGTGATGAACTTTGATCTGGTGGGAAAACGTGGCTTAGACATTCTTTTAGTCTTCAAACTCGGGCTTGGTTCGGATACATGAAGCTCCTCCTTGTCTTCTTCTTCGTCCATTGTTTCTCCTGAAGATACATCTCCAAATCTCTTTGTGAACCTTCGATCGGTGTTTCTGCAGTAACATCAGTGTCTGAATAGCTTTCAGACGCATAGAGTTCATCAAGCTGCACGCCTTCTCTTTCCCGATAAAGCTCAATTCGAGGATTCGTTCTATAATGAAGAAACTGAGGCCTCGGAGAAAGGTAGTTGGTTTTAGGGTCATAAGGAACCATCAATGGATCTGAAACAAATGAGGCTAAAACAGGACAGGATGGTGAGATTGGACCTCTAGGACTAATCTTGAAGGTTGGATCCACATTAACTGAATCCTTTTCTTTTTTAAGGGTCTCCGGTACCGGATCAGAGTCATTCTCAGTCTCCTTATAATCAAAATCTTTGTCGCCTTTCAAAGGTTCCTCATTTTCATGGTGACTAATTTGTGAATCATGACTTGAGTTCGGTAGAGTTAAATCGTTGAAAGCAAATGTCACATTCTGATTCAAACTAATCTCTGGGATTGATCCATTGCTTTCAACATCAGAAAACGAAACCTTTTTCTGGTTCGGACCAATATCCGGTTTCGAGTCAGTATCTTCCATAATGACACTCTCAACATCAGAGAATGAGACAACCTGGTTCAAACTGATCTCTAGGGTTGATTCAGTGCCTTGGATGATTATGCTTTCAACATCAGAGAACGAAACCTTCTTCTGGTTTGGACCAATCTCCGGTTTCAACTTGGTATCTTTCATGATGACGCTTTTAACATCGGAGAACGATGCCTTCTGCTGCTGCAAAGCGATCTCTGGTGTTGACTCGTTATCTTCCATGATTAGGCCTTTCACATTGGAAAATGAAATAGAAGATTGAACTGACTCATTTCTCTCGACCAAGATTTGCTTTCTCGGTGATGTGTTGATCTTCGAAGCGGTGGAGATCGTCGGTGACATGAAATTCTTCTTACCCTTGGAAAGAGCAGATGATTTGAGGCTCGTCGGTTTCGGATTCGAGTCTCGGGTGTTCTCCTTGCCATGATCAGGTAAAGAAGCTACACTTTCTCGGCTAGTGGAATGTCTTCGAGGAAAATCTGGAAGTTAATAAAAACAAACATAGCATCAGTACGTCAAAACCATAACTAGCACTGTTTGTTTCCCAGGAAAATCTCTATTGCAACTGCTCTTACTACGATTCTTCCTATTAGAACTCAGTTCAATTTGGATTAACTATCATGGTTCAAACTTCAAAATGTGTATTTTCAAAACATGCAGGGGCCCTTTGGTTAGATGGGAAAACTGCAACCTCAATCCCTCCCAAAATCAAAATTTAAAACTTTTAAGCTCCTAAAATTGCAATTTTAGCCACTTTTAAAAGTTAACTCAACACAAGTCTTTTCAACACCTTGCTTAAATGGAAAAATAACACATCTAGCCCCTATCATATTCCATCTAAACTCTTTTAACAAAATGTTTAGAACCCTAACAAACACATATAATTACATCTCTAAAGAAAACCCAAGAAAGAAAGCAAGAAACCGGAAAAGAAAACAGAACCTGAAGGATTATTAGCCGGAGTGGTCGGGTTAAACGCTCTGCGATTCGTGATAACGACGGCTTCGCAAAAGAGTTTCCACTGAAACTCCTCCTCGTAGGATCGTTGAGTTCAGATTTTTTCAGGTGAGAGTTCATTTTACACGATGACGGAGAAGAAGAAGACATCTTGGCCGGTGATGTCATTGTGAAAAAGTGAATGAGGTTTGGGGGGGTTTACAAAGAAAGAAAAAAGTAACGGCTAGTTTCTATGTTCAAAAGAGAAGACTTTGGGATCTTGAACGTTAGGGAACTGGACCCCACCTTTACTCTTGACTTTTGATTTAAATTTAAAAAAGTTAAATTAATAAAAAGAAATCCTGAGTTATTTATATTTAAAAAAAATAAGTTTCACATTTAATTATTCACATAATGAGAAAATAATTAAAAAAATCAACTCATTACGGTAACCATGTATGTTAGGGTAAATTAAGAATTTAGTATTTAAATTATCAGTTTTGATTCGTTTAGAATTTTAGTATCTAAATTTTCAATTATTTTAAAATCATACTTAAAGTTTTGTTTTGTTTCATTTTAGTATCCAGCTGTTAAAAACTTTAATTTTTGTTTCATTTTAATACACTGTTCAAAACTTAACGTTAAGTTTTGAAAAATTGAAAGTTTATGTACTAAAACGTACCAAAATTGATAGTTTAAGTACTTAACACATTAAGTTTTTAACGGCGGGATACTAAAATGAAATGAAAACAAAACGCTAGGTATAATTTTGAAAAAACTAAAAGTTTAGATATTAATACAAACCAAAACTGATAGTTTATATACTATATACGTAGTTTACCCTATATATTAATCTAGGACTCCTATAATGTGTAATTAATAATTCTATATGATGATACACGAATCCATTATTTTAATCAAATTATCTTAGTGATTAAAGGAATGATTGTTATTCCTAGAGGTTACGGGTTCGAGCACCAACGATTTCAGTAATATAATCAAGCGTTCATTGTCAAAAGATCGAGAATATTTAGAACGGATACGGCTTGTTCGTTCTGTTCGGATGATCCTGGGTCTAGACGTTCATATACGCTCGTTCCTTGATGAACAAGTATGCCCGAGTAGTTTGAGATTGCAATGCTTTGTTCTTTCTGGTTAAGTGAAAATTTTATCTCTTCCGACAGTATTCCTAGATCAAAGATGCAACATCACCACTTCATATAGTTTCCATAGATCTTCTCGAGTCCCAGCATCCAGACTCCGATCTTCTTTCTCGAATAGAGAACGGAAATCGGAAATCGGATTTCTTTCTCGAATAGAGAACGGAAATCGGAAATCGGAAGTAACGCGCATCATGCAATGCAAGTATATGCATACTTGTATTTTTCTTCGGTTTTTAAGCTACCTCGAACAGAAGAAAATCTGTTTGAAAAAGGAAAAATATCTAACTCGAGACATCCCTATATAAAATATATTCGAATCAAACTTATTCCGCCCTACTATGTTTCGGAACATCGGTTCAAATGTATGAAGCAATGTCCAAAATTATTGACAAAGGTTGAAAGGAACAAATCCATATATATATATATAGTGTCACAATCTAGGTTAAATTGCTTGCTTCACATAATTAGAGTGGTGAGTTCCAATTTGCTTTTGCGGTTCTGTTACGATCACATACTTATCATACTTCCATGCAACTAAATTTCCTCAAGAAAACCGAAAAGTCAAGGAATTTGGACTCATACCTTATTGGAGTTGCCTGGTCGTTTATTCTCTTAAGATTTCCTTGGGGATGATGGAATCGGCGATGTTGGAGGTTTCAAGTCCTCGTACCTGGTAATTTTATTGAAGGAAATAAAGACCAATCAGATGGCAACTCGAGAGTCCCATGGCTTCGAAGTATGCAAAGTAGCAGTTCTAATATACATATAAATACATACACGCGATTGAGAAGAGCCGATGACAACGATTGATCTTGGGGTTGGTGTTATGCATATTTCTATTATAGAATAGTACTTTAATGGCATTGTCATGAGGTCAATGGATTCATGAAACCAGGGAACTCACATTGAAAAAGGTGAAAGTGGCCTTGGTGTTGGTTTGGTATCATGCTGTTCATCACTTGGTTTATCTGCTACCGGAGGTTGAGGTGTGCTGTTTCCTGACAATGTAGCACCTTGGGACTCACTATCCGTCGGTGCAGTCGTCGGCGCTCTAGGAGATGGTGATGAAGGGGGCTTAAGATCAGGATACTTGAAAAAGTTGGAGGGCCACAATGAATGACATGGTAAGAACTGGCCATAAACGAAGAAAACCCGGGGAACTCACATTGCAAAAGGTGAAAGTGGTCTTGGTGTTGGTTTGGTATCATGCTGCTCATCACTTGGTTTATCTGTTACAGGAGGTTGAGGTGTGCTGTTTCCTGACAATGTAGCACCTTGGGACTTGTTGTCTGTCATTGCATTTGCCGGCGCTCTAGGAGATGGTGATGAAGGGGGCTTAAGATCAGCATACCTGAAATTGTTGGAGCACTACCATGAATGGGATGACGAGAAGAAATGGTGATTTTGAAGTTGATTGCTTCGATAAGGAGAATCAGCCAAAGGGCAACCCCCAAATACAGTAGTAAACTTACGCATAATAGGGTGAGAGATAGGTCGGCTTGGATGAATCCTTCTCACTGATGCCGGTAGCCACAGCTGTCGTCGCACTGCTACCTCCAGCGAGAGTTGAGACATTTTCTGCTGGTACAGAGGCACTTGAACTCACTTCTTTCGGCCCACTTGGTGTTGGATTAGGAGAGCTAGGTGGCTTCAAGTCGTCATAGCTACTAAAATCAAATCAGCTCCTATCTTTAACGTACTTGATATGAAGGAAATAACTCAACTACTATTAAATAGATTGGCCTACGTAGCATAGGGAGAGAGTGGCCTCATTTCCGCAGCTTTTTCTTTAACAGGCTTCTCCGTGGGTAGCTGGTTTCTCGATTACGATGCTCTTAGCAGGTACTGAAGTGGGAGTATCAGATTTCTACATACATCAGGGCGGAGAGTTAATTAGACACTAATAGTTTGAGTATCGGAAAAAGGAATAATGTACCTTAGTCAAGGAAATGTAGCCATGATTAGACGGTATCTTTGCAAGAAGTTCCTCCATAGGTCTCAATGGAGCAGTTGTTTCTGCAACAACTTCCACCACCTTACAGTACGAAAGGCTACGGTTTTTTGCCATGCAAGCCATGAGTTCAGCCACCTTCAATTCATCGATATCATGAGAAAGGCTTAAGAAATCACAATACGAGAATTAACATTAAACGTTTGTATATGCACCTGAAGATTTGACACCAAGCCTCCAAATAAAGTGTCTTCGGTTGATAGTCTGATATTATGAGTTTCCTTGAAAGCATCGGTGGGACGCTCCATTCCTCCCGGTCTAACTATCTGAACAGGCACTTCAAGATGAGTAATCAAATCCAGATATGATTCCCCGGTACTGCTTGTGATCTACTAAATTTGCAGGTATTTCTAGATGTGCTTACGGTGTAGGGAAGACCACTTGCGATGAGTGCTTCTTCTGCTTTCCTCTTCCAGACAAGGACCCCCCAAAACAAACTTAAACGCGAAAAAAAGATAGGACAAATTAAAACACTAAATCTTGGCTCCAATCTATTTCAAATGAAGCATAAATAAGGTCAAAACTTTTATGCAAATAAACCTTAAAAGGGACGGACTCACTTGAGAATAGCTGCAGGAAATCCCACTTTATTTGTTCCCAAAGATGAAACCAAAATAAAGTGGTTAACCTTTGCCACGGTCGCTGCTCCACCAGGGAAAAAAAAGAAGATTCAGCTTAATATCAAGAATAGATGCAAACTCGCAGATATGCTAGCAGCTCTCCGGTTTGTTTACCTGCATCGATAAGATTCTTCGTGGCCTGGTAGTCGATGCGATATGGCCCAGTAATATCGAAAACTTCCTTCTCACTAGCACCGATGCTGCATATGACCACTGATGCATTGCCTATGGCTGGTACGATCCTATCTTGTTTCTCCAAGTCAACTTCCACAATTTCAAGCTTTTCTACAGCTGGTCTAAAGAACAAAGATTACCTGTTACTAGCTACGAGAGCATTATTATATGGTTTAAATAATAAATCTTAGTGTACGAAGAAACCGATGTTCCTAGGCTCTCTTTTCCTTACGTGTAGTTCCTTCGGCGTCGAGCTTCATCTGCTTGACACTCTGCAGACAAATTTCTCTTCAATATAAGCATAACTTAGAAATCGAGACAATAAAAGATTTATACCTAAACAAGTAGAACAGAAACCTGCACAAGACTTTCAGCTCTCTGAGCACTCCTAACTCCAGCTCTAACTCGGAAACCAAGTTTCAAAAGCTCCCTGAAGAGTCATGAGCTTAGCACATTTTAGAAACCACACATCCGGTTGTTCCAATTCCAAGTGAAGCCGACAGAGAGTTTTTAACCTGACTGTTCGAGAGCCTACCCTGCCAGATGCACCAGCAACGAAAGCAAGATCCTCATCTTTTGGATCCGCTTTGTTCGAAATTGTTCCAGCTACCTCCGAGCTGCTTTTCCTCGTTCCTAGCGATGAAAACATTCGACAACAACGACCATAGGGCAACGATTACATGCTAGGGGGATGAGCACAACTATATCCGATTTACCAACTACGAATCAATCGTAACGAACAAGCTTATATCCGAGGACTACTTAAGTTCATTACTGCATAAGTCGCTTTACCGGCACAATTCTACTCGAATCCGGCATTTTTCGATAATAAAAAAAAGACAGCAGAAAACATTCTATACACTTAATTGTTCACAATTTCACATATGCAATCATAGATCTTGTTCTCTAATCTGCATTGTTCACCTATGATTCAATTCAAACAGCTACACATTCATTTTCCAAATCTTACCAAAATTGCACAAGCTTGAGCTTGAAATTGCCAACAAGAAATGGGAAATTTTGGAACTTTATTTACCTGAAGCTTGAGCCCTGAAATCGAAAGTTCTGAACTTTATGGGAATTGGGAACCTTTTAGAAGAGGGAAGCTCGAGAATTCGACCATATCCAAGAGGTTTCTCAATGAACCCGCTTCTGGACAGAGATGAAGGCGCTGTGGTAATGGCTGGTGAGTGAAGAGAGCAAGTCCCATTGTTGAAGCAAAATAATTATAAA